ACACAACATCACTTTAAATACTGCGATTTTAAATACCGGCGACTGTCTTGTAATTTTGTCGCAGATCGAGTTACATGTTTGCATTTTTTGTCTCAGCTTTCGAGACCGTTGACTCTTACGTATTTCATACAGCTGAGAGCGATATGCTCTTATAGAGTGTAAACAATACTACTACGACTGAAAGAAAAATAAATTTCTAAGAACACACATTCATTCTCGCATAGAATTTTTCATAACTTTTGTGAGCGTTTTATAATTTTGTCACGGTGTGTATATGCATAGCGTTAAAGCAAGCGTTAAAGATTTGAAAAATGATCTCACTACCTTATAGAGTAAAAATTGTTAGTTCAGCTATAATTAAATGTAACGAACTATTATGTGCATCTGAACGATCTACAATATTGCGTAAAATTATTATTTCACTTGTTTTTTGGTTCATTTATTAGCAGCATTGTAAGTAGTTTATAAACAATTGCTTTTTTATAACTTACCTTACATTTCTGCCCAATCCAAATAAACAACAGGTTTCTTAAAACGATTAATAATAATTAAATTGTTCTAGATTAAAAATTAATATTATTAAATATTCTAGAACTCTTTTTTCAACATTTATATCGCCGTGACAAGTATTTACCACGCTCTATTAACAGCACTAAACCGAATGACAATCGATCGAAAACATTTTGTAATTATTCGTGAAATGGAAAAGACGGAAATTTTTTTATCGATGGTATTATAGACAAAATGAAGTATTTGGACATTTTTTTTTAAATTTAATTACAAGTGCTATAAATATGGGTATACGTACAGTTTTAAAAGTTCTATCAAGACAGTGATCCTAAACACAAGGCCAGAATTGTACAGGAATATTTATTAAACAATTGTCCAAAAGTACTGCATCCTCCTTCTCAATCTCCTGATTTAAATCCAATTGAAAATTTATGGGATCAATTGGACCGCAAAATTCGTACAACAGCTACAAAGACAACAACAAAGATAAAACAACGTCTGTTAGACGAATGGAAACGGATTTCGCCGGATTATTTAAATAAAGCTATCTGTAACATGCCCAAGCGATTACATGAAGTAATAAAACAAAAGGGTCAACTGACAAAATATTAATATTATGACAACACGATTAAAAAGATTTTCATTTTATATAAAATCAATGTAATTCATTCACTGTCCGAATATTTCTGCGACGTAAAATTTTGTCACAATCTTGTTTATCGCTTATTATACCAAAAATCATGTGGAATAAATAAACAAAATTTATGTTTCTACTTACTTTATGAAGTGCTTTATTATATGAGAAAACAATTGATTCAATAATACTGTCTTAAACAATAAAAAGCAGCAATAATTCTTCTAACAATATGGTGTCCGAATATTAATGCGAGTCACTGTACATCGAAAGCGCGGCGATCGGGACAATAAGATGGAAAGTTCATGGCAAAGCATGAAAGTATGAAATATTAACGAGCCCCATCGTAGCATGCGTGATCTGCGCGACAACTATGTATCGAAGGCTCGAAGGCTATTATTTTTCCTGCCTGCAATTCTATGCCAGGGACTGCTCCTGAATATCGAAAAAACCTTGGGTGCATATTTGATCAGCTTTTGGCTTATTTGCAGTCGATTGCTTATGGAGGAATCGAGGACACGCGAGCTCTTTGCGTCGGTGAATATTTAATATCAAACCATTCACGATACTTCAACTGCACCTATTCCTACAATAGTCGGCGCACCATCATCAAGTCGAACTGTTGTAGTTCCCGTGTTTCACTGTCAGTTCTCATGCAATCAATTATGCGATCTTGTGCGTGCCATTCTCGTAATCGCGCATTGAAATATTTAGGATCTCGGAATCTACGATACGTATCCCCGTCTATAAGTAGTCCGGACATGTAACAAATGAGCCGTTTATTTTGAAAGTGGCATAAGCCACTTTTTCAAAAAGATCGAGTTAATGGTAACACTAATTACAATTGAGCGGTATCTTTTCATTTTAAAAAGATTTGCAATCAATAAGTTGAGAACTATTGAGATTTGTTCGAGAGAAGTTTTGCTAATTAACGGTATAACAAACATGTTTATTTTGAAAGTGGCGTAAGTCGCTGTACTCGGGAAATTAATTGCGGGGCTTAGTGTAAAAGAAATAGAAACGTGTGATAAGTGCGTGTGAAGTATTGTTTTGAATTATTTTCAGTATTTTTAAAAAGGTTGTGATCACTGGACTTATTTTTATAAGTGCGAAAGAATAGTGCAATTTTGTAAATTATATTATAGTGATGTGGCGGCTACCTCCAGACCCGCCAGCAGATGGCTATAAAATGTTTGATAAATTAACTTTAGATGAAAAAGATGAATTTCTGACTTTGGACTTGTCACCAAAAAGAGGAAGACCTAGGCGTTATTCACAAATAGAAATGGATCCGTTATACGCTGGATCTCGTCCTGTTTCTTCGGTAAAATACAAAGACATGATGGACTTGCTTAATTATATACCCCCAATATACCACAGTTATTTAAAAAATTTGAAACAAAACACGATTTCCGAGGACTTAATCATTCCTATTGATGACGAAAATTAAATTGAACCGATGTATTTTCATATAAATTACTTATACTTATGTTTCAAAATGTACCAATTATTTTTGTATTTTATGAATATTAAAATAAAAAATACTTAAATCAAACCTTTATATTAAATATGTTCATGGTATAAATTATTATTATATATGTAATTTATTCAACAATTTTAGTAAATNTATATGTAATTTATTCAACAATTTTAGTAAATCACTGTCCTTTCAAAACATCGCTTCAGTAATATACGTCGGACAAAATTAATATATGTCAGTCATTTTTCTAAACTATTTATTTTGAAAGTGGCTCAAGTCACTTTACCGTAATGAAAAGTGGTGATTTTGTAATGTTTATACGAAATTATTTATACTGAGAAAAATATCAGTATCCTGAGATAACAAATACAAGTAAATCTTC